AATGAATGATTTTCACAAGGAGAAAAAGAAAGATGAATAAAATCAAGAATCAAAAAGGAAAATCAAGAATAAAAAGAAAATTCAAGAAAGTAAAGATGACGAATTCAATTAAAGATATGAGTAATCTAGAATTAAATCCACTTCTTAGAAAAAGATGATTCCCTAGAGGGTTCTAGCCTAAAGGTGAATCAAAGAAAATAAAAATAAACAAAAAAGAAAAGTAAACCTAAGAGGGTTCTAGCCTCAAGGTGAATAGTACAAGAAATTAAAATCTAACTATAAAATAAATTACAAAATCTAAACTACAAAATAAATTACAAGAATTAAAATGCAAGAAAATAAATCTACTCTATAAGCATAAAATAAATCTAAGGCAAGAGGGTTCTAGTCTCTTGGCTATTTAACAAGAAAATAAAATCTAACTACAAGCATATAAATAAATCTAAACTAATAAGCAATAAAAAAAATAAAAGAGAAAATAAAAACAAACCTTAACATTGATCTCCATCTTCATCTTCATCTTCATCTTTATCATCCAACAAAGAGAAGAAAAGAAAATTTTAAAGTGGTAAAAAAATTCTTTTATTAATTGTAACAAAAAGTTACAAGTGTGGAAGGTCTTCTCAATTAAGAGTAACATTCCTCTCCAAATGGAGATACAAAATTTTTCATACCCTAACCCCTCACTCTCTACCCCTATTTATAGTAAACATCAGTGAATGAGAGCCTTTGGATCAAACTTGAGCCCCAAGAATGCAATTTCGGTCGTTGATGAATTCTGGACGACTTCGCATCGATATAGGCATCGATGCCCGCATCGATGCTCCAATAAAAATTTTTGACTTTACGGTTGGCTTCGTCTCATCGAGATAGGCGATTTTTATATATTATATGTTAAATTCCGCCTTCCGGATTGGGAGATATCGTCGTTTCTTTGCGGCCAACTATCTTGAATACATTTTTTTCATATTTAATTTTTTTTATTTTCTCTGGCTACTACAGGATACTCGGCTTGATTCTGGGCTTGGGTTTTTTGGCTCTTGTTTGTGTTCTTCATTTAATTCATGTGTTTTTGTTGAGATAAGAGATCTTGGGCTTTATTCTTTATTAGCCTATAATTAAAGATAAAAATAATTATTAATGGCATATTTATTCATATAAAATAGATAATGAGGGTATAAAATGTAATAAAATATGATTATCAGTGCATTGCACAAATTTGTTCACGTAAAGCGAAAAAAATTCAACAGTTTGTGTCCAACAGGTGGAATTCTACGTTTCTAATGTTGGAGAGTGTTCTGAACTTTCATTGGGCATTTGAGCACTTGGAGTTGATTGATCCAAATCACTTTTTTCCCATTAAGTGAAGAATGGGGAAAGGCTGAAAAACTGTAAAGTTTTTAAAACCTTTTTTATGAAGTATCCACTCTTTTTTCTAGAAATAAATATCTAACTACCAACTTATATTTTGGTGGAGTGTTTAAGATTCAAAAATGCATAATGGAGGAGATGAAAAATGATGATCAAGATATAAAATCCACGGCAAATGATATGAAAATAAAATTGGTTAAATATTTAGAATGTTACATTGTTATTTTATCATTTGCAGTCATTTTGGACCCCCGATACAAAGTGAAGTATGTAGAGTTTATTTTTGAGAAATTGGGAGTTAGTTCTGATTATGTGCGAGCATCTCTAGGTACATCTATAGCTGAGAATAGTGGTGAAGAGAACTTTAGAGATGTTCCTAATGATGAGATGGTTGAGTTTGAACAGTTTGAGAGTCAACTATATTCAGCTAGTGGGTCCAAGTATCAATTAGAAGAGTATCTAGATGAAAATTAGTCAGTTGGAAGAAAAATGATCATTTGAATGTTCTCGGGTATTGGAAAGGCGAATGCGAGAGGCGTCCTCAGTTGGCGATGATGGCTCAAGATATATTGAGTATTCCTATTACTTCGGTGGCCTTTGAATCGGCTTACAACATTGCGGGTCGTGTGCTTGACAAGTATCAAAATCATCTTCTTCCGGAGAATGCTGAAGCTCAAATTTGTATTGGTTCTTGGTTAGACGAGATTCCTTGTGAGTTACCTTCTTTTTTTTCTTTATTACTTTTTTGTATTGTTGTGGACTACACGTTTTATCACAAAATATTAATATTATTTTTCTTATTAAATGCAGCTTTGGCAGACATTGAAGAAGGAAATTTATTAGTATATGATTTCAGTAATTTAGAGGTTCATGAATCGGAAAGCAGAAGTGATTAGCGTTGTAATCCATTTACTTTATCTAACATTTATCACAGTGGCATACTTAATTTTATTAGGCCTATAGAGTTAAATTACATACCCATGAGCAAACTAGCTATCGGTTGAAGCATTACGTAACTTACGTTAGTTAATTATTGATATATAATTTATCGTAATTTTGTGAATATCCTCGATGTAGCTTACCTTGAATTAGGAATAACATTATTGATATATAATTTATCGTAATTTTGTGAATATCCTCGATGTAGCTTACCTTGAATTAGGAATAACATAACTTTCTATTGTCATTTTGTGAATATCCTCGATGTAGCTTACCTTGAATTAGGAATAACATAACTTTCTATTGTCATTTGCAGACATTGGCTCAGTACAGACAAAAGCTAGATGAGATGGTAAACTGAATCTCAGACAACAGGTGACCATATTTATATTATTTAGTTCAAATATTAGAGTCTAACTTCTGAAGAAGTTCCTCGTCTTTATGTATATTGCAGGTACTTGAAAGATTCACAATTGTTGAAGAAGCTTTACATGGTTTTGTAGCATTAGAGTGTACTATAAGAAAAAGGAAAAATGGTTCAATGTCGTAGAGTTTGCAATCTACCTATTGAATTTAGATGCGTTTTTTGTATTCATTTACTTCATGTGTGCTCCCTAAAATGTGTCAAAATGGAAGTGAGAATGTGATTTTGTTAGAAGGAATTTAAATAGTAATTGTAGCTTACAACTAGTTCTGTGTGATATACTGCTTGCAAACTGTTGTATTTTCTTTTGGAGAAAATGTGATGTTTCCTTAGGTGAAAAAGTTCTTCTGTCTCCATTGCGGAGTGGTGTTCTTATATATTGATATAGTGGCGATGTTTTCTCATACTGAACTTAATATTTTTGAGGAAAAGTTTTGACATATTTTCCTCACGGTTATTTATTCTCCTTCCGTTCTTATTAGACTTTGTGGAAGCTACTGAGCAGTGTATCGCAAAGTTTGTGTCAATGTGACTTGTATCATGTTCTCATGTGATATATTATTGTATTTTTTAAGTATTTTATCACAAACCTAGCAACATGTCATGGGTAACGATTGCTGGTTTTAGTTCTTAAAGTTTGGATTAAACTCTACATTCTTGTTCCTTACTGTAAATATATGTTATATAAAGCCTAATATATTATGTATTCTTCTGACTCATTTGTTGAGTAAGAATTCTATTTCTAGTTTCTAATTCTAAAAAGAATTCTATTTGGGAAAAAAAACTCCTAGAAATTTTGCAAAAAAAACCATCAAAAGGTTGTAAAAATCCCCCAAAAATACTCAAAAAGTCTGCAAAATGCCCCCAAAATATTTGTAAAAAAAACCCCAAAAAGTTTACAAAAAGCACCCAAACTTTTGTAAAAATCCCCAATAGTTTACAAAAAGCCCGCTAAAAGTTTAAAAAACCCCAGAAAGTATTATAGTATAAGTATTATATAGTATAAATATATGATTATTAAAAATTTGAGGAATAAATTATGGTATGCTTGTACCATCACAATATAATATATATTATATAATATATATATATATATAATAATATATATATATATATATATTATAGTATATATAGAAATAATGGTATGCTTGGTACAATCACAAATTTTGTGCTTGGTAGTAAATTCGTCACATTCCCCTCCACTCACTATCATCGTGAATTGTTCCAACATTTGAATGAAAGGTGGGGGGGGATTTGACAGCCGTCACTACGAAGGCAGTTTGTGCTTGTACCCAAGCATACCCATGATTAATAGTATATAATATATAATTAATATAGTAAGGTAGTACAGTGAGGAGAAGAGCCGTACTATATATGTAATATATACTAGAATATGATATTATAGTAGTAGCATGATATATATATATATATATATATATAAGAGTATATAATAATATATATGGTATGCTGGGTACAAGCACAAAAAGCGATATGCTTGGGATGTAGTGGGTCAAATCTATCGATGCCCATCAATCAAGGATGACAAATTACGATGGGCGATAGTGGAGGTGATGCGATGTGGACACATTCAGCTACCAGCACAACTTTGTGCTTACACATACCCCATATTGGGTATGAGGTGATGAATGGGTGGATCATCAACACCAAAGGAATAACTTTTGGTGCTTGGTACAAAGCAATACCATATTTCTCATATATTCTTTTGGGTTTTGGCGTACGCAAGCATACCCATATTGGGCTAGTGAGGGGTTGGATGGGGTGGATGTGTATACATCACTACCAAGGGCATAACCTTTGTTGTGCTTGGTAACCACCTACCTGCATATTTCTCATATATATATAATAGTATATATATATATATATATATAATATATAATAATATTATAGTTATATAATATTATATACTAGAAGAGAGAGGGAGAAGAAGAGAGTAGAGAGGAGAGATTAATGGGTGTCCTAGTCAAGGAAGGGATTTCCTCTTGACTACCGTATGGTGCGCAGGCAATCCCCACAATTTACACGACACTCTCCTAGCTTTAATGAGGGATGGTGGAGATTGTGGGCGACGATAGGCGTACAGTGTGGGAGCGGGAAATCCCTCCTGTGAACCAAGGAATACCCATGTAATGCTCAATATATATGAATAGAGGTATGCGTATATGGATGTAGTATGAAATATATATAGTATATGGAGTATGTATATATTAGATAGATATATATATATACGCGCACTGATAAGGTTAGAATGGAAACATGTGTTACCTCTTTATTAAATGGGTGGGCAAAAACCCGCCTATTTAGAAAATATTAAATGGGCCATAAATGGGTAAATGAGCAAAACATGCCCACCCATTTATGGCCCACCCATTTAATACCCAAACTCACCCATTTAACACCCCTCTGAATGAGACACCACTCTTGACATATGTATGTGTCAAGAGTTTTGTGACACATGTATTTGTCACCACTTTCAACATATATATATGTCGTTAGTTTTGCGACACATTCGCACATGTGTAGAAAAACGTTGTTCACACATGCTCTAACCACACTTTTGATATGTATCACGCTCTATTTTACGACATAAAAATGAGGTAAAGTTATTTAGTGCAAACAACTCTACTCTAGTTAGATATTATGTTACAGATATGTTTGTTTGGTCAGCATCTCAAGATTTATTCACTCTGATATTTAAAGATGAGAACTTACATTTTCAGACAGAAGTCGTTCTATGTTTAACTCAATACTTGGATTAACAGCCACAAGCTTCATAGACAGGAACTATCAGTAAGAACCAATTTTTTTTTGAATTAGATATTAGCTAAGCTTCACTTTTTTTTTGTTATTCTATCACCAAAAAAAATACGGAAAGAAGCATATACCTCAACCTGCAGTTGTAATGATTGAACATAATTGATAATCTCATCAAGCATTACCGCCTACCCAGTGACCTGTCAAAGTTAAAACACATGAACTATATGAATGAAATATGTACATAATTCATAAACTGCATCAACTCGTGCCATTACGCAGTCAACATACTTTACTATAACCAGGCACAAGGTCTTGAAGATACTTCATCCGTTCGCTAATCCTTTCTCTCCTAACCTACAATGTGATCAACCAAACTTAAAACAGATCATAGCAATTAAAAAGAAAATTCAATATTTCATCGTTGCCTGACCTCGTCGCGCTCTCACATGAACATAGTCTTGCTTGGCTCCATCTGTGCTACCTTTCGCAGTTTTGGTATAATTACATATAGCTAGATCCAAGTGCTATTGCCAAATTGAACTTACTTTGCTGTAGTTCCATTGTTTCAGACAGACCCCCTGAATGCAATTGTTTTGACCCAATGCTAGGGATCTGAAAAATTAATTGAAGGATATCATTAAAATCATAACTGAGAGGGATGGGGAGGAGGTTGGGGTCACGAGCGTCCTCTCTAAACCTTTCACCAACAATAATCAAGCAAAAATCAAGATCCAACAACAATCTTCCCAAAATTTATCAAAAATCAAGCAAAAAGTTTAGAGAGGACCTCGATCTGGGCGTGGCGGTGCTTGGGGTCACGAGCTTGGATATGGCCGATCTGAGAGAGAGGAGATGGCCGATCTGAGAGGGAGTCGGGTTTGGGGCGGCGGTGATTGGGGTCACGACGAGAAAGGGAGAGGGAGACGGATTCTGGTTTGGGGAGAGATCGGGTTCTGGTTTGGGGAGAGAGAGAGTGAGGGTTTGGGGATTTTAGAGCTCGATCTGGGCGTGGCGGTGCTTGGGGTCACGAGCTTGGATATGGCCGATCTGAGAGAGAGGAGATGGCCGATCTGAGAGGGAGTCGGGTTTGGGGCGGCGGTGATTGGGGTCACGACGAGAAAGGGAGAGGGAGACGGATTCTGGTTTGGGGAGAGATCGGGTTCTGGTTTGGGGAGAGAGAGAGTGAGGGTTTGGGGATTTTAGAGCA